CATGTGATGGTTGGGACAGCGAGTGTAAAATGATGTGGTGCAGGAAAATTTACATATTTTTGTAAACCGTGGCATAGCAAGACAGAATGCAATAGCATATATGTTGTATACAGGATTCGCCAAATGTGCCCGCCGTGGTGGTCTAGTGGCTAAGGTACTCGGCTGCTGACCCGCAGGTCGCGGGTTCGAATCCCGACTGCGGCGGCTGCATTTCCGATGGAGGCGGAAATGTTGTAGGCCCGTGTGCTCAGATTTGGATGCACGTTAAAGAACCCCAGGTGGTCACAATTTCCGGAGCCCTCCACTACGGCGTTTCTCATAATCATATGGTGGTTTTGGGACGTTAAACCCCACATATCAATCGAAATCTGGCAACAGAAAAAAGGTTAAAGAGGTTGCTTGCAGTTACCTTATTTGAGGGCGCTGCTTTCTTTGCGGGTGGGAGCGCAGTCGCGTAATATTTTCATACTTCACGGGCTTTCTTTATTAACAGGAAAAAAAAGTTAGCACGCAGTTAGTATTGTTGAAAAGAGCACAAATAGATCTTTACAAAATGTGCACATGTGATTCGTTGATATTTGATAATTAGGTAAATACTTCTGAGTTACAAATATAACCATGTTAATTAATTAGTTGCCATAAATAAAAAATTAGTAGTGGACACGGCAGTATACTTGAAACAATATCCACTAAGATTGGTTACTCGTGTAACACCTTTCCCGCTTTTTTTTAAATTGTGCTGTGTGATAACTGGGACACCCTGCAGTGTATGTATTGAATCATGCGGCAATAAACTTCTCTACTGAAGCCATTTGATGAGTACTTGGAGAAGGGTTGCAACGATGATGATGTAGTGGTGGCCTGGCCCTTTATAACGGTGGAACACACTCGGTGTCCTGGCTTCATGAAAAAAAGAGGGGGAGAAAGCAAAATTAAGGAAAGTAAAAAGAATTAAAAAGGTCCATTTAAAGGATCCCATCTGCCGCAATGTAATGGCTATTTTCGAAATCTGCGAAGAGTTTCTAAATGTCGTCACCACATACCGGCCAATTGACCCGCCGTGGAGAAATTAGCGGCCGCGTCTCAAAGCGATGGCTTCACAGCGCGTCGGCATTTTTTAGGGAGGCATACCGGCAAAGGAAGCGCCGTCGTCCCTGATGGGTGATAGGTTGGCGGTCCGCAACGCGGTTGTTGAGAGCGCTGCGCAAGAGTGCAGTCACGTGGTTTGATTTCACATTTCGCGGGCTTTCTTTAATCGCAGGAAAAGGTTGCCACGCAGCAGGTATGTATACATTGCCACACACACACAAAGAACGCTAGTGGTCGTTTCGGAATGCCCTGTACAAGTGAGTGAGTATGAATAATTTTGCATAATTGATCTTAGGTAATTAACCTATTAAATGCAATGTAAAATACCTCTACGAGTGCTACGCGAAGACAAATCATATGCAGTTGGCTTCATTCAGGAGTGCCCAACCATGTTTCTCTAAATATTTGGTTCTTGTTACGTGAAACACCCTTAAGAAAAGTGGTTAGCAGTCCGCCGCGGTGGATAAGTGGTGCTCTGCTGCCGACCCTAAGGTCGCAGGTTCGATCCCGGCTCGGCGGTCGCATTTTGGTGGAGGCGAATGAAGTCCGTGTGCTGTGCGATGCACCATGCCGAAATTTCCGGAGCCCTCCACTGTACGGCGTCTCTCATAACGTTGTTTTGGGACGTTAAACCCCCAAAATTATCATTAAAACTGGTTCCCATAGGTAACGGTAGTGATGTGGGCTCGTTGCTGTGTCATTGCCACTTTTGCAGAGGCACAGAAAGTGACGAGGACACAGGGAAGGAGCCTGTGTGTGGACCACAAGTCTCCTTCCATGTATGTCCTCGTTCTGTGCTGCTCGATTACAGATATTATCGTCACGCGAAAAGGATTGGTGGTCCCCTTGTGTGTTTCGGACGACTTGCATTTTTCCTGGCTAGGTTTTTGTTTGTTTCCTCGCTGTTTTTCCTGCAGCACGCCATCGCTGAAATTTCGTCACGTGAAGTCCCAGTCTGGAGCGGCGGCGTTTTTCGCGCGTTCGGTTCCGGTGTAGCCTAATGCGGTAATGAATATATCTAATTATTCGCAGGTTCTAGATTTCCAAAATACGGGTATGCCATAAATTGTCACGCCCTACAACATATGTTTGTCAGTTAATGCTTTCAAATTAACTTTAGCAGCGGTAAAGTATTTACGACTCGACGTATAGAGTCCGTGTGCGAAGACGACAGATACCTAACATCGCATTTTTCTATTAAACGACCTGTGTTGTACCAAGGAAAACACCCCAGTATATATTGCGTATTGGGATTTCCTCTATGCAGCCGTGACTTCCAAGTGTTCATTTTCACAATTTCAACATGTGCAGAAGTGAACACATAAAAATGCATGCAGCTCGTTCATTATAGTACCCCTACTTTCAGCCTATACCAAGACACAAAATAAAATATCTCGATTTGCTTTATCTTGTTTACAAGATGCATGTGCGCTGACAGCATGATGCTATTTGCGCACACAAGCGCCGGTCATGTTCGTTGCCTTCGTGTTTTTTTTTCATGCATTCTGCAAAAGAAAAGCAACCGAAAGCCAGTACTCTTTGTTTTCCCTGTCTCTCCCCTTTTTTTCTTGGGGGTGGAAGAGGGGGCTTTGCATCACCGTGCATCAAGGCAGCTATTTTACGGAGGGGTTTCAGTGGCGCCATAATGGGCTGTTAAAATTTACGTTTTGCATCTTCAACAACTAAAGGAACAGTGTTACGATAGTCCCATGCGCACGAAAACAGTTGCCGGGTCCATACATGCGATGTTTCATGGCCTTGTTATTTCACGTCACAACAGACAATAACCAGGAAACGTAGGCTTAACAGCCCAAGATGGCGGCGCCTATATGCGCCATAGATCGCAAATGTATGTTTTGTTTGGTTGATCTCTGTGCCAATAGTTCCTGCCACAAACGCGCCTATTCACGTTTTTTCCGTCGGTACAAGCGCTAAGGAGCCAATTACATCGGTCGCACAAGTGACAACTCAAAACAGAGTCGCGTCCCAAAAAGGTTGGCGGTGCGCTTAGATGTAGCAATACGCACGTTAAAACCTCGCAAGTTGCCCACACACTTTACACCTATATACGCAGAGTGGTTAAGGGCGTATGGTAGGGCATGGCCTCCGAGATGGTGGGCGTCGTGCGCCCGCCATCTCGGAGTCTATTGATAGAGTAAACGAGTTATGTTGGTATCAGCTTTATTCTCCTGAATTGTGCCATATTTGTCGTAAAATTTTGCGTGCTTAATAAGAGTACCAGTGGCCTTCAGTCTGCTAAATTTTGACCCTGTAGCTTTTCTCACTTGGTTCCCGGGGGGCACAAAATTTAAGGCTGGTGCACAAAATTCAATGTACCTTTTTTTTTTTCAAAAACCAAAAAGTTTCGCCGTAATATTCGGCACACTTATTCATTATAATATTAGTATTAATTCGAACCTAAATCTGGCTCTATATTCCACACGAAAACAAAAGACAATGTCCTCACTTGTCAGGTGCCGTGAGGGAGACTTTCCAATTAATCTTTATTTTTCTGAATTGTAAATAAAACAATTTTTCAAAGTTTTAAGTTCAGACTATTTAGAAAAGACTTAGCTATAATGCGAGTAAATTTCAGCGTGATCGACCGGATAGTTTTGCGTGTAACGCACATCTAGTTTGGAAAATTATAAAAAAAAAACTAACCATAAAAAAACGCGTCTTAACATTAATACACGCGCGGTACGGGCTCACTACTGCAATAATTCCTCTAGAAATACATTTCGGTGGAAAAATTTGCGATAAAATTGTGAAAATGGTATGAAGTGAATATATTTAACCAATTTAGCTATACTTATTATTAAAGAAAGATGCGTATACACGCAGAAACAATGACAGAAAAGACCCTGCGTATTCGTGAGGAGACACCATGTCTGGCGCGTTTTTAAGGGGCTTGAAACACTCAAACGCGCTTGCCAATGCATAGTTTTGTTCCTGAGAGACAGAGAGAGTAAACTTTTATTTCCGACAGATTGCTGTGATGGGGTCCAAACTAGGAGCTAACGGAGATACAGTGTTACCCGTCGGGTTCCTCAAAGCGGGTATAATTTTTAGCAATGAAACAAAACCAATTGTTTGGTTGATCTCCCTAACCTTACCCCTTTAAAGGACTTGCGCTGCCGCCTTAAGAGGTTTGTAAAATATCGTCAAAACCTCTTTTTTATCTCTTACGTAGCTGTTCAGCGCAGAAGGAAAAAGGAAGAGTCGACAGAGCCGGTCAAAAGAAGGTACAAGGACAGTTGTTTTTTTTCCTGACCGGCTCGACTGGCTGTCTGTTTTCCTTGTTGCGCTGTACCAGTTGAAGAGTGGTAAGCACAGCGCAATAAGACAGAGAGCCCACGATGCGGCGGCTTCGCCCAACGCGGGAGGAGCCAACTGCGCGCCAGTCGAGTCTCTTATCGGATCAACGATAGTTTTAAAGAGCAAATGAACTCGCCCGTACCTCAACACCTTAGCAGTCCCTGGAGTAGATTTGATGCATTTCGTTCGCGGAAAAGTTGAGGAGTCTCTAGCAAAGTTTGTGGGATACCGATAACTGCAATGAGCTCCACTTAATAAATTCGCGTTTAATGTCGTCACTGATTCACCGCCATCGCTTCAGGAGATCGCCAATGACCGGCGTCCTCCTCATGCGACGCACCACTTCGGTGTGTAGTGTTATGCATGCGGTGCAGGCCCTATTTTTACTTTCTTTGCGTAGGCGCTTCGAGTCAGGGGAGGACGTGCGTAGGAGAGGGGGGAGGAGGGGTGGAGACAAAAGCGGCGAAGATCACTTCGGCCCCAACTCCGGAAGATTTGTTGTTTGAAGCGTCGTCGTGACAAAAAAGGCTAAGAGTGGCTGCAGCATTCAAGACTGATGAATGCGCAGCGAGTGATATACGACACCACATATATTTTCTTTTAATTACGTTCTTTATTGAGAGAAGCCGGAAAGCTCTTTCAAGGTTTTCTCTTTTTTTTCAACATTTTACATTTTTTCTTTGAGTTTTTTTCTGAACACGGACATACTTGAGGACAACACACACAACTGGTTTTGCGAGACATGAACGTCGACTAAGGTTCCAACTCTGAGACAAATAACCGGCCGACCAAAATGGATGGTCATTGTCGCTTCGTTGAAAAAGTGGTGGTGTATATATATGTACACATTTACTACACTCATAGTAGGTGAAATCATTCGGAAAGGGGCAAGAGAGAATGTGCAGACGAAGCATAATATATACATAAAAGAAAAAAATATACGCGCACGCACAACGCTAAAGGCAAGACACACATAAGAGCGATAAAGCGATTCATTAAGATGCTCTGCTAAACGATAAAAAATAATGTCAAAAATAATAATAAAAAAGTTCGGTGTATGATTATCACTGCAAGTAAACACACGTACGACCTCCAGCTTAGACGGCCGTCAAGAACACACGAAATGCGAAAAAAAAAAACGGCACTGGGTGCTATCGAGGAAAGTAATGTGCGGGGCGATATGGATAACGTGGCACAATAAAGTTGGGAAAACTAGAAGAAAACGAGCACGATGAAAACGCGGCTTTTAGCTTCGGTTTTCTTTAGCGAACTAGAGCACTACCGGGGCATCGCAGAGGGCGCTGGCAGCAGTGCCGCGGAACATTCTTGCGCTCTGAAGCAGCAGCCCGGCGCGGCAGCTTCAGTGCAACGCAAGTGTGCTCGCCAGACTGGACCGCCGCTCGCGTCGCAATCACCTCACGGGCGAGTTATGTAATTGCACTGCTTCGTAAAATAAATAACAGTAGGGTCACACGGAAACACGGCGTTCGGTGCCGCCGCTTGCATGGTTGCTTTTTTTTTCTTAACGTCTTGCACTGTGTCCGCGGCCATTTTTTTAATGTATTCATGGACGACAACAAACAAGGCGGTTTGAAGGAACCGCGTGAAGGCACGAGCGTGCACATAAAGAACAGACACACACACACAAACAGGGCAAAATGTGAATACTGTTGCCCCTTTCAGCTTTTTTTTTTATTTCGCTCTTTCTCTAACACGGCACTCAGAAATGCATAATAATGAAGGTCGGTTGCTGGACGGACGTACATGGTTTGACGGCACAGAAACAAAACACAGACGAAAACAAGGACACGAGTAGAAGCCATCCTGGATGCCACTTATCACGGGACGATGGGGCGGGCGCCTTCGCAAGCGCGGACCAAATGATGAGTTTGAGAGCAGGAATATGGCGGCCTCCGAGAGTGCCCTCAGCACAGACGCGTGCAAGCATCTCGTTTGCTTCGCGAGAGGCCACTCGGTCTGTGCGCTTACAGTTGCATGTGGGCACTAGAATGGCTCAGGGAAGAAAGGACACTTGAATAAGGCACGTTGTGTGAATGCACACGCCCTTGCAAAAACAACGGCAACACTGGGCGGCGGCGTCCATGGTAAAGGAAGAAAAGACAACAAAAAGCGTGCGTCCGCCGGGCTCCGTTCTTGTCTATCCCGCCTTCGTTATGGCAGCGGCGTACCACGCGATTGTTTTCGCCCCGACCGGGTGAGAAAGTGATCTTTTTTGCTCTCTGCCTCTAAATGAAGACAGGCTAGTTGAGCATTACCGAAGCATGTCGACGAGAGAGCGCTCCCGCGACCACAGCTACAACTTCAGCGTAGAAACGCGGGGGACGCCGCTGCCATAACGAAGGCGGAATAGAAAAGAACGGAGCCCGGTGGATGCACGCTTTTTGTAGTCGTTTCTTCCTTTACGATGGACGCCGCCGCCCAGTGTTGCCATCGTTTTTGCAAGCGGCCTAGTCAGGCTTGTCTCAACACAAAATGAAGGCGTTCACTGGTAAATACTGCGACACGGTATGACAGTGACGCAAAACGAAAAAAAGAAATACTAGATAGTGCACGGGGACTTTGCACACGAGCACAAACACACTTAAAACTAACTTTTCGAAGTTTGGTTAGTAATGACCTTGGGCGCAACACGGGAAGACCAGCGTGATTTTGCTGTTAACTTTGCGGTATCTCAATAAAAATAGGCACAGTACAAGGTCTCGCTTGGCGGTACCATGGGTCCACGTGCGGGGCTCGTCAGGCGGGCCTCGGGCTGTGCGCTATCACTCAGAATAACGACAAAAATCGAAAGAAAACACATCAGAACAATTGCAAAATAATGAAAATAACATGCTTAAAGAAACAAAAAAGGTACAGGAGACATAAGCTGAAAATACAAAATTGTGGGTGAGAGAAAGACGGGTAACACAGACTATGTGAAACAGTTCAGCGCGCTGGCTGGACCACTCACTCGTCGCCGCCTTGGCGACAGACCGGGAAAGAAAAACACAAATGTGGCAGTTCGGCGCTGATGAGACAAATCCTTGGGGTACGCAGACCCGAGAGCATTGCTGGGGCGCCGCCGCTGGGCAGGTCATCACGCCATGAACAGTTCGATGTATCGGCTGCCTATGTTCTGGCGGTTCTTCTCCTGGATGGCTCTTTCCGCCTCTGCACGACTCGGGAATGTGACAACAGCTTCTCCATTTGGACGCCCGTCCGTGTTGCGCTGTATCTGGATACAGTCGGCAGTGAGCTGCGCAAACAGGGGCCACGTTTACTGCACTGAGACCACTTCTGTCTACGCGTTCCCAAGAGCCCCACTGCGAGCGGTCGCAGTTTTGGCAGCGCCTATGTCCACTAATATTCGGGGACTGTTCGAGCATCACTGTCGATAGAACGATATCGGCAGCAGGTCGCGTCGAGCAGTTATTGTACGGTCGATACAGCTGGCATACTGAACATAGGAGCGGTGCGAAAGTGTGAGCTACCATAGTGTGGGGCCGACACGAGAAACCTTCGTAGAACGCATGTAGAACGATGTGCGCTCGCGACTGCTCGTCGATGTTAGACAGCGCGGCATTGGACTTACGGGGTGGCTTCAACCGAATCGAGGTATCAGTGAGGCTGCGCTCACGTCCATCTGTGCGATGCAGGGAAGTAAAGGCTGGTGCACACCGGCGACTAGCAGCGGTCGCACGACCGATTGCGATTGGCGACCAAAAAGCGACTGATGTTCACACCGGCAGAGGCTGCATGCGAGCGACCGGGAGTCGCAATAGCGGAGAGTCACGTCCGGATCTCGTTATCAGCGAGAACTCTGGAGACCGGCGCCGATCAGCTGATCGCCGCCAGCTGAGCGAAGCGAGCACGCCGCCTTTCTTGTTTTTATCCATTCTCACAAGTCGCAAATGGTCGCGCGACCGCTGCTAGTCGCCGGTGTGCACCAGCCTTAAAACCCACGATGTGATTTCCACAAATGAGAGTGAGGAGTTCGTCGCACGGCTGTCCCTATATGCGAATCTAAACTTGGACAAATTTCAAATGTAGCACGATGCCTCAGTGCGGACTAGTCTATATAACAATATTCTGTTTCGGTGCACTCAGGCTTGCGGGTACGACAAATGAGGACGAACTCCACAAACTAACGAATAGCTGACGCCCCGAGAAGCGTAACGCGAATGTGAGTCTATCGTGCGTTTGTAGCGTCACCGAGGACGACTGCTAGATGCGAACAAGTGACCAGCGGAGCGTTTGGACAGGTCGGTGCCCTTTGGAGACACTGGCGCTCGTTATTTATGCATATTGTTGCATTTTGAATGTATTATTTTCTGTTGGAACATGGAGTTACAAATGTGCTAGTAGTATATATAGTCTTTGGCGCTTCGCCATTCTATAATTCACTAGATATAAATATACAAGCAGCTATGTCGCCGAGACGATGCAGCCCCACGACACTTAAAAGTTACGCTGCAATGGACTGCCTACAGACTTTCGGTTGCCGTTCTCCGGAACAATTTGATTTGATTGATTTGCTTTATTAGTTTATCACGACAGATATGATGGGAAGCGAAGGAAAGAGCAATTATCGCACTTTCATTGTTGCGACCGCGAAAAATAGCATGATAGAAAAGAAAAATATTAAACCAAGAAGACGTTTTACTGAGGTCTGATATTCTTGCTCAACTATTAAGCGTGTGCACTCCCTTTAAAGTAAGGAGTGTCGCCCTGCAAGTAAACTAGCCCGTCCATCTTGCCTTATTGCTTATGGGGAATTCCAAATCTCAATGCGCATACGACTACGGGAATTCTCCCGCTATATCTGTCGACCTTTTTTAGCAGGGCAACTAAAGACCGTCCTATACGTTGTGTCAAATTATTCATGCATAACCAATGATATTTTAATGAAGCTCTCTCTCGCTCGATCTTGTAACGCACAATTTCTCACGTCTTGCTCTTTGTTTAAAATGAACCCCATTTTAGTCGCATTATACGTTTAATCGAGCTTGTAATTAAATCACTAATGTAATCCAATTTTAATCCTGTACCGAAAGCGCTGTTAGATATTTTGTCTCGCAATGTCAGAGTTAAAGAGTTGTACTGCCCAGCTGCCACGCTGAATAACATTTAAACTATGAGAGTATAACGCGTAAAAATTCATGCAGGAAGATTTCTTGCCCTTTCCTTCTCTACCCGGGCGCCATTTTTGAAGGAAGTGTATAATATTGATGTCTTTTGCTGCTGCTGCTGCTTGCTGTTTTTCTTAGCACTTTCCCCTCCTCTTGCTGTGACTAAGGGTTTCACGCCTTTTTGGTGTGTGCAATGGCAATTTTCTAGCTATTCCAATAGAACTCTTACTTCGCATCCCTGTTAGCGAACGGGTATAAATTGAACGACAGTCAAGTCTACTCTATATAGTAAGCTTATTGCCAGATTTGTCTGACATTTAAATTTTGAACTACAATTCAGTTTTCTTCACCCATCGTACGATCTCTTGCAGAGGTTTGATTATTATTGACCCGCAGGTCGCGGGATCAAATCCCGGCTGTGGCGGCTGCATTTCCAATGGAGGCGGAAATGTTGTAGGCCCGTGTACTCAGATTTGGGTGCACGTTAAAGAACCACAGGTGGTCGAAATTTCCGGAGCCCTCCACTACGGCGTCTCTCATAATCATATGGTGGTCTTGGGACGCTAAACCCCACAAATCAATCAATCTGATTATTATTGAGTCAGCCGTACTACTACTCTCGCAAACAGTATGTCTTAACTGCCGCAGTGGGTTTAAAGTACAAATGTATTTCTTGGTCCTTCACGCGCCTCATTGTAACTGTGACACACGCAAGGCGAATGTATAGCGCTAAATGAAAAAAAAAAATAAAGAAGAATAAATTGTAAGTCATACTAAAAATAAGGGGAAGATACAAAAAAAAAACCTTAATAACCCGTCACAGAGGTCAATATATTTATGTATATTTTTGCACGCAATTAAGGAACGTAACAAAATAGTCGCCGGCTGCAGCAAAACTCTATAGCATTGCATGGGTTGCCACTCATGCATCTGCTAAAAAGGTAATCGCTTCACCTCACCTACAGGCTGCAAGTACTTCTGTTTACTGCAGTTAATCATTGCTTCTTTTTATTACTGCCGTAAAAAAGCAGTGCAGTCAAGGACACTGCAGCCAACCTGAGCGTTAAACTGCCCCTATAATAGGAGAGATGGCCTGACAGAGTGAAAAGTTACTTTAACACACACATGTACAGCGTACATTAAGGCTTTAAGCACAGCCTTTGTCGGGAAGTCCTGGCAAGTTCGACGCCATTCAGATACGCATTTGACGGTAATGACAAGCGTCAAGGGATCTGCAATCTAAGCTACGTTCCGCACGCCTCGTTTGCTTCCAGCACGTAGTTACCCCCTATAGAAATGGAAGTGATTCATCATCATCATCAGCCTGACTACGTCCATTGCAGGACAAAGGCCTCTCCCATGTTTCGCTAGTTAACCCGGTCCTGTGGTTGCTGCTGCCAATTTATACCCGTAAATTTCAATCTCATCTGCCCACCTAACCTTCTGTCTCCCGCTAACCCGCTTGCCTTCTCTGGGAATCCAGTTAGTTACCCTTAATGGCCAGCGGTTATCCTGTCTACGCGCTACATGCCCGGCCCATGTCCATTTCCTCTTCTTGATTTCAAATATGATATACTTAATTCCCGTTTGTTCCGTAATCCACTCTGCTTTCTTCTTGTCTTTCAAGGTTACACCTACAATTTTTCTTTTAATTGTAAGCAATTAATTATCACTATAAATACTCAAAACTTGACATTGTGTCGGTAGCACGGACGATTCGGCTTTCGGCTTGTCAGTCGCCTAGGAATATATAATAAATGGCGTCACGCAAGTGCTGAGCAGACCCGAAAGTTTCGCACATTGTTGGACAGCGTGACACATAGGCGACTGTAAGCGCACTCGCTTCACCGGTAATTACACTTGCACTTACACGGTAATTACGACGCTGTGACATCTCGATACCAGCTATGGCACACTTGGCAACCTCGGACGTGTTGGTAAAACATTATTATGACGGTACAAATCAGCGCAAACGACAGCAGGACAAAACAGGAGCGCTCTGCATCCTCCCCTGTCGTTTGCGCTCATAATCTTGTTATACTCCAATGTGACATCCCGGAGATAAATTTTTATCTTCGAACACTCTACATTCGCCGACGTCGCGGAAGGATACGCGGAAAATTGTCGGCGAAAAGAATCTTAAGGTTTTACAAACGCTAAACGGCTGGCTCTTAACGGTGAGCAGGCACGACGCAAAATCGTGTCGGCGGTACCACATCGCAGCCGGTGGCCGCGTTGCAAAGAAAAAAAAAAAAAGAGAGGGGAAAGATGGGAAAAGACCCAAGGCCTCGGTCGTGTGTACGCATGCTCTGCCACTGCCACACACCCCGTGCCACTGCGCCAGTGCCCCTCCTGACCGCAGCGCGGCCGCATTAGCAACATACACCAGCCAACAGTCGGTAGCAGCCCCGATTCCACACACAAAGCGTTAATACAGCCGAGATTAGTAGGAAGATAAAATATAATGAAACAGCCCGCACACCAGCATCCCCCGACAAACCAATGCACACACATTCACGCCAACGGGACACGCCGCCCGACACAGGGCTTCGAATCCACGGGAGGCGGCACATGGCGCGAGTGCTCGGGCGCCGTGTCCCGCGGCTGAGCCAAGAGAAAAAGAAAGAAAAAGCCCTGACCTCTGGAAAGCCCTGGAAGAAGGTTAGAATGTCCTGGGGCGTGGAGCTATACGGCAGGCCGCGCAAAATTACCATGGTGGGGCCTGCCGAGTGGGGGTAGTACGTGGTTGGGGACACCGGGGGACTCGGGTAGGACCAGTAGAAGATGGGCGGGTAGTAGGTGGACACCCGCGGCGCCAGCGTCGTCATGGTGGCCGCCGGCAGCACGGGCGCCGGGGGCTGCACGTACGGGTAGGCGCCGTACGGCGCAGGCGGCAACATGGCGCCCGCCGCCGCCGCCGCCGCTGCACACAGACAGCCCACACCACGTCAGGGTGACGAGCACACTATCTGAGCATGCATACGTGCATATACAGCCGCCAACAAACGAAACCACGCGGGCCTACCGTGCATTCTGCGCCGTGCTATAAGATGTGCTGGGTTGTTCACTCGAAGGCAGTGGGTGAAATGTGAAGGGTTCGGGTGCTACCAGTTCCCGAAGCAGGTATACCCATGGCCAAAAGTTAGAGCCCTTTCGGGGCACGAGGGCTCACTCCGTTCCAGTATCAAGAGGAAGCCGCCCTCGTCCAATGAAGAGCACTTGCGAGACCTCCTCGTGAGCTTAAGCCAGACGCTTGTTGGGCATACGGGCTCGTAAATTTGGCAATGGTTACACGCTTCACCACGACGCAGAATGTACTGAAGGCAGCGTGTTCGCATTATCAGTTTCAATCGTCATCGGCTGCACACATACAACGCGCATAAATTACATGGACTAACTGCTCTCGTATAAAAAAAAAAAAATGCTTTAACTGGTTGGACATGCATACTAGTCTACCAGTTTTAACCAGCTCATACCATTTCTCTTCGATCGCATGCAGTCTTCGACCGACAAGGCTCAATGAATAAGCGTTTTTTGTTTAATTATACACCATACGTGTCCTTTATTTAAAAAATCTTGCAGAGAAAAAAGAAGAAAAAAAAATGCCGCGTACCCGCAGAAACTATAGGAGTATACGTTCACGTAACTTTCATTATAAAGTTACACTGGCTAAATCTTTCTGCGCCGAAAGCCACACCGACACAATGCGTGTAATGAACGAACTTTCTCAAGCAGATCGGCCTTGAGCCGAATATCGGTTCGAACACTGAAAAACAAACAAACAAATGCTCTAGCAAGGTGACGCATCGCCTTCGTGTAACCTACGTAGCCGCAGAATGCGTTCAGCCGACCAGTTCCGACCGCGGGCAAAGGAAAACAAGCAAATCGAGCGAAGCTCGTTCAGGCTCGAATAGAAAACGGAGCAGCGGGCCTCGTGACCCTGGGCCAGCAGCGGCAGTTGCAAGTGTTTGACGCAAGCTGCAAGCGCGCGCGCCCGAGTCGCCATACCTTAACGAACGCGGAATGGGCTGCGCGTTGTACGACTTACCTGGAGTCAGCAGAGGCCTTTGTACTGGGATTCCCCCGGTGAGCACCAGATTCATGTCGTCAATAGAGCATTGAAAAACTTCAATGTAGCGGGGCTTCTTCCCCATTATATATCGATGGTGGCGCTGGAGCGCTGCCAGGAAGGCAGAGTCCTCAGAATCCATCTGTATAAAAGCCTCGCCAGAGGGCTGTCCCTGAGGGGGAGGAGGAGGAGGAGGAATGAATTACGCGAGTGATCTGCAAAAGCCCGTCTGCGCACGCGCTCTCACTTGTAGGCACGAACCGTTCGAAGCACAGGCGCTGCGGAAGCAAACCTTACACTATTCTCTCTTTGAAGCTCGATTCGCATTACGTTGAAACACCGTGACCGTTCATTGTGTGGACCGTGAATCCAATAGCGTGAATCCGTGAATCCAATAGCGGCACGTGAATCCAATAGCGGCACGTACGGCACAATGAGGCGTTCGAGTCTTCTACAACGCCGGGAAAGCTTGCGGAGTGGAATTCGTAAGAACTTCATCGACTTACTCGTTTGCGCTTAAAACGAGGCAAACATTTTGCAATTCAAGAAAAAAGTTGTCACAGAAATCACTGTATATGCCTCTCTCAGGAGCCTCAGTGTTTACCAAGTTCCTGTGAGAGGCTAGTATTATGACTTAAGCTGGCGGATAGTATGCTACCAGTGAAACATTTATCTGAACTGTATTTTATTCTGTGTTGACACGTCTATGCCGCACCATTGCAGGCACCGACCCTCGAAACTCGGCTAAATCGTTCTCGGCTAAGCTCACGCACTGGCCACAGTTGATGCCGTTCTTGCTGTTTCTTTTTTCCGCAGTGCTACCACTACACTGTCAAGCTGACTTTCTTAATATAAAATGTTCCAATTGAAGTACGGTAGCTGGTTGGACAAGTCGGTACATTTGCATCTTTAAACGTAGCACGAAAGAAGTAACCTATAGAATCGTTCACACATTCTCTATAGGCACATACACAGCTTCAAAACGAAGTGCATATACACAAGGGAATTATTCTCTTTGGCACAACTTATGTCCTATTCTACGGTAGGGTTGCACAGAGGAAAAAAAAAAGAAAAATGAAGGAAAGAGAAGAAACAGTGGGCAAATCTCTGCACATTCTCGCTGCAAGTTTGTACAAAGCGTAAAACACGTGTAATTAAATTTGGACGAAGACGTGCGAGTTTTGAGGGCTAGTTTTCGTTGTTAGACACAATATCAATGAGACCTATCATTGTCTGTTAGTTTTTATTAAATTTGTATCAAGTGGGCGAGTCAGCAGCGAGCCCGGTAACATGCTCAGCTATCCTTTTTGCCTCATGCTACAGGTTGCGATGGTCGCTCTCGGAAACCAAGCTTTGAGCAGCGCCTGCGCTGCTTCGACAACGCTGGGGTGTGTGGTCCACGACGCTGGCGGGCATTCATCGACACTTCGTGAATGCGACATCACGGATCCACGTTTTCCACGTGTCACAGACAAAGATATCACCTCATCAGCAGTAACGTTAGGTACATGCTTCATCATACAGCCATAAAAGCACCGGACAGGCTGTACTTAGTTCACCTTTTATAAATTAATTTAGCACTAGTATAAATACACGCACGATTATACATTTAGAATGGTTAAAACCTTTTTATTCCCCCACCGGAAAAAATGTCAGCCAGCCGATCCCTTCAGAGAAATTCGCCGCTCACTTGCAAAGCTTTGTGAAAGGGTTGGCTCACTGTTAGGTTGACGCACAAAACAGTGACAAACAAAAAAGTGAAGGAGAAAGCATGCGGATCGATAGGACGTACGGCACGGCGCATTATTTTACACCGGCCGTTGGCACTCGAAGCCGGCATGAGCAGAGGGCGTGCCCCACCTGTGCATTGTAGACCATGTGAACGCCCTGGTAGACGATGGCCTGCGAGTGCTCTCCCAAGAATTCAAGTATGGTCTCAACCTGCGCCTCGTACGGCAACCCGCGAAGCCGGATACAGTCCTTGCGCGACGAGCGCGATGGCAACATTTGCTGCGGCAGCAGTGGCACCTGGGGCAACGATGCGATCAGCGGCTGCGCCGTGTCGTACGTCCGGGGGTCCATGGTGCGGTTGAGGACCTGCATTGGAAGCAAGAGGGCCCGTTCGTCACTTCACTGCGCGCTATACTTGCCATTAAGCATGTTTACATGCAGTTAGGCATAGTATACACTCTGCACGAAGTCATTGCACGTTGCGACACTTTCGGAGGTGTTCCTGCAGAAAAGTTTCTCGAATTAGATAACTATTGCTGGGGTTTTACGAGCCAAAACCACCGTATGATTATGAGAAACGCTGTGGTGGAAGGCTCCAGAAATTTCGACCAATTGGTGTTCAGTAACTTGCACATAAATATAATTTCATAAGGTTTTAGAGCTTTCACCTCTATCGAAATGCGACCACCGCGGCTGGGATCGAACCCGTGACCTTCAGGTCAGCAGCCGGGCACAAAAACCACGACACCACAGTGGTGGCCCTTTCTCCAATTGCAGCGTGCTAAACGAACAGTAGTGAACAAGCGTTTGTTCTTTGGGTCTCCGTCTGAGTCCTAGTATATATAGGCTCTTTTTTTTTTTTTTCAAGTGGAGGGAAGGCAGGCTTCAATTACGTGTATATAACTCGAGAGGAAACAACCCACGAAGACAAAACATAAGAAGGGGCATGCAACGGCGACCCCTTTTGACGTCTTATCTCGATCAGCTCAATACGTCCGTTCATGCATCCAATTAAAGGGCTCAACGGGCGATAAACATATGATTTGGCAAGTTCACAACACACGCCAGCAGACGAAGCGAGTGTTCATGAACCAGAAGTGTCGCTGGCCCCGCCGCGGTGGTCTAGTGGCTAAGGCACTCGGCTGGTGACCCGCAGTTCGCGGGATCGAATCCCGGCTGCATTTTCGCCTCCATACAAAATGCTGTCGACCCGTGTACTCAGATTTGGGTGCACGTTAAGGAACCCCAGGTAGTCGGAATTACCGGAGCCCTCCATCACGGCCTCTCTCATAATCATATGGTGGTCTTGAGACGTTAAACCCTACATGTGAATCAAGTAGTGTCGCTATAGGGCCAATGCTTCGACAAGTGGTCTTGCCCTCGAGACAAAAACAGCGCAACCTGACACCTACACTCTGATGGCCATAGGAAAGCGTGAATATACTTCAAAATTTCGAATAACTATTTGCATCGAACAACGTTATATTCGATTCGGTGCTGTAGAATCGAACTTACCCTTGACGCTCCGCCTGAGTGCTCACAGCAGCAAATGAATAGTGTGATTGGCTATCGCTTTGTGCCATCTCGCGATCAGAACAAAGTGTCTCGAAGGCTTTGTCGTTATTGGCGAGATAAGCTGTTTCTTTACCCACGCCTGCTAAGCCTAGCGCGCCGAGAAGTCGGTTCATGTAAATAGTGCAGCGTAGTCACGAATACATTAAACACAAATTGGAGATTGGGCGAATAGGGTCGTCTTACTTAAACTCGTATAGCGCATCACGGGAAAGAAGAAATGGTCGAGCAGACCGACACAAGCGCCGGGACATAAATCTAAAGCAAATTACCAAGCGTCAACGAGGAATTTACTAGCCAGATTACGTGATGAACTCTAAGCGGCAGACACCAGCGTCAATGAGTTCAGCCATGCTGTTCTTTTTCGGCGCTGCCACCTGCTCGCCGAATGTATGCGCGCAGACGCCAGGGGGACGCTTAGCAGACGACGCGGCGCGGATGAATACATCTGGAGGGGCTAATCACCCTTCTTGTAGGATAAGGGGCCCTGAAGCCAACGTAGTGCTGAACGGAGCTTCTGAAACGGAGTATAGGTTTGAAAATTCACTATTCGCACATCTCCTCCAGTTCCCATCCCGCTCTGAGAACGGGCGAACACGAAAGCCATCCAAGCCCTTGCATTTCGAGACATGTTTATATCAGATATGTTGGGTCACGTGACGATGGAGACCACAATTATGCATTTGAGGAGAGAAAGGGAGGTTGCGCGACATTCACCGAACACCCCAATTGGCCTCCGGTGACGTGAGAACACTTCTTCTACCAGTAAGATTCCTCATCTATTACGTACGCAACGTTCCACGCAGCGAAAAAATTTTGACAGCCCTCAGTGAATTATCGGTCCCACTCTAACGCGTCGTCTTGAAGACCAGAAGGCTACGTCGGTAGAACCTCGACGAAAGCGAGCAAATTGCTCAAGACGCTCGATTAAGAATTGCCCCTTGCTAACCTCACATTTCGCGCCCGCCCGCATGTTAAAACAAGAAAATGAAGACTGCGAATGAAGACTCGTTTCCTTAACGAGTCATTCGGTCTTTTTTTTTTCTACAGTTTCCGAGCTTTGATTCTCCTATCACTTGATTTCATTTTCTAATTAGCTCCATTTCCCACCTAATCTTGAAGTGCTTTCATTATACGCTCAAAACGCGATAGTTTTATTTGCAAAGGTGTACTATCAATAGAAAAAGTTTGCGGGACGCTGTATCCACAACAAATGCGAATTTCTGCTATATCAGTGCTTAATGTTTGTGATCAAGCTATTAACCGTATAGGTAAGAAGGCCAAGTGCCGTATGAAGCATTTATTTGGAGGTTACATTCCCAGGCAAAGCGGGAATTCAGCTTTATCGAACATTTCGCGTCCCGCAAACCCTTCATGTTCATAGTACATCACCGCCGATAAACGGCATATCATTTTATTCCATATTGAGGCAAGATCCGTGCATGCCTTCCTGGTAACTAACTGCTAACTTCAGCGACAGGCGTCACGTCACCCATGCGGTAGCGTATGTACGTCTACGTTGAAGTAATATTTCTAGCTTCTAATAAATGCTGCTCCACGTGATGCAAAGAAAGAAGGGAGTTAAATTGACTGTATGCCTTGTATTATCGCTATATTGGACAAAATCACGATTATTTGGGTTATATCGCCACGACTGGGCCCCGAATGTCTGTTACCTGTAAACGCGAAAATGCTGAAACGCGACTACAAATGTGCCGATTAAAAGTCGGCCCACGGTTTCTTCGCACGCACTGAAGTTGGTCGACGAGGAGTCAAACCAGTTGCCAACAATTTATAGGTATGCATCAAAAGTAACTTTTAACCATAGCATAAGTTCCGCCGGGCTATAAGTAAATAAATGCTGGAAAATGTTCAGCCCTTTTGTCGAAAAGCGCCAGCCTCGTATACTGAGATGTTTTTGCTTCCCATTGTTTTCTCACTCCATTTTTTCTCGTCGCGTTATGTCTGCAGCTGCAGCTGGGAAACCGGCTGGGCGGATTTCGTGAATTGCGTCGTCTCCAGCTAACGGGGCTCCACGAACATGCATCGACAAGCGCAACGTGTATATATACATACTTTCGTCCTTCAGTTAACACATTAAATATAGATCGTACTTGCGAAGAAACGATTATCGCGGAACAGAGTTTTGGCTAGAACATACACTCCCGCAATAGTAAATTCAAGACCTGCATAAGTCACCAACGATGGCGGAGCTGGGGGACTTAGAAGCGTACTTGGCGAATTCAACCTGGCCCACGTGGCCACCGATTCTAGAACAAGGTCACAACCAACAACCTGGTGAAGTTTTCGCTACGCTCAACGATCCTCCCTTTAGCCAAGGAATGGCGTCATCATGGCATGCGCACAGTCGAAGTCTGTGGCAAGGCAGGCTCACGTGAACCGCCCCGACAAGGAAAATAAGCATGAACAAGCTGGCTGAACGTCGCTAACGTCTACCCGGTTTGTCTTTGGCGTCACGTTGGTGACGTCCTCCCCGAGAAGCGAGGTCCGAAACCGCAGTTATCACGGTGGGCGCACCTGCTGCAACGTGGCCGTGCCCGCCGAAGCCCGACCAGCTGTGACCTTCGCGGTTGCGCCGTGCTCGTCGGGGCGGGCACGCCGGGCTCGAGTTCGGTGCTCTACTCACGGAGTGGGCGACAGCCGGGGTCCGGGCGCTACCACGCAGGCGGCATCGGCGTGCGAACGACGAGCCCGCTTCCACGAAGCGACTGCCGATGGCGAACAAAGGCACGCAGCAGGCGCCTACAAAACTGACGACTGCGCCAGCTGCGCCGCTCCTCAAGACAATGCCGCCGGAGAACGCTTGTACAGCGGACGCGCTGCTCTGTCCGCACTCAGCGACCGGCGAGCCGTGTTTTGCTGGTCGACGGCCGCGTTGAGACACCGATCACTCCCGGAGGCCTCTGCTTGCGCGTTTTTTATATCGAACGCTCGCGGACTCGTGCTTGACTTCGCGCTACAGCTGAACGCTAAACTGGTCTGTTTTAACTAGTCAAAACGCCCAAGGGAAGACGGGCGGGCTTGAAACACGCCTGCAATGACAACAGTTTCTCGCCTCCGAAAGGTGAAAGTCACGACTTAGCCTCCATTTTCGTGGCTCACTTTCAATAGCACAGATGCAGATACCGAAGTGAACGCTCACGCGCGCTTCATGCTATGGCGCTTCCTTCCAAGCACTTCGATAAGGCAATATTAATCTCGACTACCCGTACAGCACATCAATTTGCGTTCGATACGCAAATTGATGAGCTGGACGCTGGCGTCGCGGCCACGAGAGCAGCCATCGCGAAGTGCCACGTCGCGGGTCAAGACCCAAGAGCGCGCGCCCGGGCCGATGCAGCAACAGGTAGATTTGACGCCGGTAGAGTTTACGGCGCCCGCCAACCGTACTCACGGTTTTCGGTTCCAGCAGCGAGTGGACTCTCTCCGTTGGCGCCTCCTTTGGGGATCCCGTTAGAGCCGACGTGCGCTACGCCTCTCTACGCGCGAAACGGTGAAAGAAATGGAAGCCTTCGGCGGCGCGAATAGCGCGGGCTCGAGCGCCAGACGTTGCGCGTGACCGAGACATCAAAACGAAGGGCCCTCCCCGCGGGTCTCGTTTTGCTTGTTCTTTGCTCGTATAGGCGAGAGCCTGCGAGACCTGGCTTCGTTCGGAGTTCATCACCTGCGCTCATCGTTGCGAGCCCCGTGGGCGCCGCAGAACCGAACGCTACATACCACCCGCGTATGTATTGTATATAAACACTGCCGTTGCTCCCGTCTGTACCCTCCGG